CGGATTGCTATTTGCAGTCGGACTGTTGACACCATTGCTATCACTTTAACAAAGTTAATTTCTAATGACAATAAAGAGTGTCCATCTGAGAAAATGCAATCTAATTCATTTATTTTGAAATCGTTTAAATATTTCAGCATATTTGCAGACGAAATGGTAAAGTCGATTACCGACATGTTTTTGAATGTAAAATTTCCAATGTCTTTATCGTGGCTAAAACGACCATTTAATACAAAAATATTATTATTTTACAAATATTAATTAAAAACCAACTTATACTATTGATCTTATGCTCTTTAGATGTCCTGAGAATGCTCAACCCTAACTGGCTTAATACATGTAATATATCTGTTTGATTAAAAAATTCTACGAAGTCATTATCAAAATCAAAAAGGTTTGTTAAAAATCATCCGATTCAGTGAAATCTTCTAACGATGAAGTTCGGTATGTGTGTTTTAAGAAATGTATTCAGGTTCTATGCTCTCAAATTAATGTAAGCATCAAATAATCAAATTTTTGACACTTCATACAAAAAGAGATATTAATTGTAACAGTTTCAGAAATGTTTTATAAGGCTTTATGTCTGTAAAGGTTAAGGGTAGTTAGAATGCTGTCTTAACCTTTAATTTACTGATTATTTTTATATAGAGGATATTACATGAGTGTAGTTTTAATACTTTTATTCAATGAGTTGAATAAAATCATATGCGAGCATAATATTGTTTGATAATAAGTTCAATAAATTTAGTATTGAATGTACACGAATGTAATATCAATTTATCACATATATAAAATAAGAACTGTTAAAAGGAGTCATTTTTCATAGACGCACCTATAGTGTAATGCTAACATAAGCGCGCTTTAACGCTATGTTTACACTAGTGTAATATTGTTTTAGCTTGACTATTCACACTAGTTCTCTGTGATTATCTAACACGATTGGCACAAAATAACAAGAATACAGATCAACAAGGCAAATGCAACGTTCACAGGACGCCGCCCCCGGACACACCCAAGCAGGACACCAAGAAGGCACTCAACAAGTACCTGGAGTGGACACAAGGTCGAAAGGAGCGGGACATGTAATGTGAAATGATATAAACAAAAACAGGCCCATAAGAGAATTAAAGGGAAAGGGCTGTACGGGTTAAAAGGTGGAGGGGGAATTAAAAATGGAAGGGGGGGAAGAGAAAATACCTACCGTCAACGACAATCCAGCAAGACAGACATCACGAAACATGTAAACATCAAAAACAAGCAACAACACAAACAAGAAAAACACGTGAAGGAACACAAAGAGGTACCGCCTTGGAACGGTCAGTGGTAGTTAAACCACTGGAGAGTTTAAACCGGTTTTAGGCCCGCCAAACCTCACATTTAGCCCCAATATGTTCCTGAATGACACGAAAATGTATATAAAATTAATCCCCGCCAAGTGAAATTCTAACAATGGTCATGGTTACATTAGACGAAATAAATAAAACACATACAAAATTATGTAAATATGTAAAAAAGTTACTGCCTAATGACCATTACCAAAGTACTCGATGCCTTAAAGGAAGGCAGAGCAACAAGAAAATCACTTACAAGGGCCCCACGAAGCAAATGTTAGTCGTATAACTCTGATTTGCTTTTTTGCATAATTATGCCCCTTTTTCGACTAAGAAATTCTTTGTTAAGTTTTTGTGTGTAAGCAGGTATCTCCATAACTACTGAAGGGAATGGATTGAAACTTCAAAAAGTTGTTCTCTGTGATAATCTAACATGATTGGCACAAGTCCCATTACTCAGATTTGCTTTTTGTGCATAATTATGCTCCTTTTTCGACTTTTAAATTCTTGGATAAGTGTTTGCGTGTAAGCTGATATCTCCATATGTACTGAAGGGAATGAATTGAAACTTCAAACACTTGTACTCTGTGATTATCTTGCATGATTGACACAATTCCCATAACTCTTGATTTGCTGTTATCATAATTATGCCCCTTTTTCGACTTAGAAATTCTCGGTAAAGGTTATGCTTGTGAGCTGGTTTCTCCATATCTACTGAAGGGTTTGTGCCTTTTTAGGGAAAATTGTATACATTCGTAATAATAAAGCAGTAATTTACTCAATCAAACATCTTAATAACAAGCCTTTGTACCTGTTCGCACAAATTTATGTTTTGATACAGGTAAGCATTATCATACTCAGTGAGACACCCTTGTGACAACTTTTCGAATAGTCTAGTGTTACTGTCCTTGTTAGTTAACTTTAATGAAAATTTTGGAAATGTATTTAAAAGTAAAGTATTGTGAGGAAAACAAATAAAGTAATTTACATTTTGCAATCGGCATTTACAGTCCACGAAAATTAACAAAAAGTGGTCAAGATATGCAAAAACAGCCCTTACTGCGTTAGTAACGCAGTAGAAATATAATGTTGAAATACTGCAAAATCAGTTTTAAACCGTACATAACATGAAAATATAACTTTGATCTTGAATGTTTTTATCTTTCTGAAAAGTTTAGTGCATTTTTCACAATATTGATTTTTTTGAAATATTTTGACTCATCTGGAGGCGTGCAGCTTTAAATGACTTTATTACACTCCTGCGCCATGGTTTATGTTATAGTTATTATGCAGTTATATATCTTTTCAATCACACTTTCAGGTGCCCGTTTATACCTGGAATAATGCACGGAAGGGCACCTGAGGTCTTCTCCACATGTGAAGCTGGAACGTCGCGATATGACCTATACTGTGTTGATGTGACGTAAAACTCAATAAAAAAACATAGAAATAAAATAATCATACTATGTACATCTTAAGGAATTTACTTCAGATAATAGATATGTGAACCTTTATGTGTTGTGGATGTTAACATTTTCATTGACTAAGTTAAAGCTACATGCCTCCAGATGAGTCAAAATATTTCATAAAATCAAACTTGAGAAAAATGTACTAAGATGTAAGGAAAAGTAAAAAGTTTCAAAATTCAATATATATTATACATATAATGTGCGATTAATAACTCATTTTGCAGTATCTACAACTATATTTCTATTGCGTTACTAAAGCAGCAAAGGCCATATAGGCATATTTTGTCCACTTTTATGGTAATTTACGTGGTTTGTAAGTGCCATTGAAAATGTGTATATTGCTTCCTTTTGGTTACTTCACATATTTCACATTTAAATGCATTTTCAAAATTTTCATGAAAATAAGCATGAATCTTGAGGCATGCTGCTTTAAAGACAAAGTTTCTCGCAATAATATAGACTGATGCCACAAATACTGCACATCTGCATTGGACGAACTAATAAGCTATTCAGGGTCCAGCGACTGTTCAGCTATAAAGTAGTATAAAGGGCATGCAGCTATAAAATATACAGTTGTATAGTCGTATAAAAAGCATGCAGGTATAAAGTCGTACATAGAGCATGAAGCTGTAAACTGTGCAGGTGTAAAGTCATATAAAGAGTATGCCGCTATAAACTGTACAGATGTAAAGTCTAAATAGAACATTTAGCATGTATAGTAGTATTTACAGCATGCAGCTTTAAACTGTACATATTTAAAGTCATATATAGAACATGCAGCTATAAACTGTACAGATGTAAAGTAGTATATAGAGAATGCAGCTATAAACTGTACCGGTGTGAAGTCGTATATAGAGCATGCAGCTATAAACTGAACAGATGTGAAGTAGTTTATAGAGCATGCAGCTATAAACTGCACAGATGTAAAGAAGTATATAGAACATTCAGCTCTAAACTTTAAAGATGTAAAGAAGTATAATTAGCATGTAGCTATAAGAAGTACATGTATAAAGCTGTATATAGAGCATGCAGCTATAAACTGTACAGGTGTAAAGTTGTATATAGGCATATAAACAATTGTAAAGTAGTATAAAGAGCATGCAGCTATAAACTGTACAGTTGTAAAGTTGATTAAATAGCATACATCTATAAACTGCACGTGTTTAAAGAAGTATAATGCGCATGCAGCTATAAACTGTACTGGCGTAAATTCGTATAAAGACCAAGCAGCTATAAACTGCACGGGTGTCATGTAGTATATGGAATATGCAGCTATAAACTGTACAGATGTAAAGTAGTATATTGATCTTGCAGCTATAAACTGCACGGGTTTAAAAAAGTATAATGAGCGTGCAACTCTAAACTGCACAGATGTACAGTCGTATAAAGTGCATGTAGCTATAAACTGTAAAGATGTAAAGTAGTATACAGGGCATACAGCTATAAACTGTACAGAAGTAAAGTCGTATATAGAGCATGCAGCTATAAACTCTACATATGTAAAATCGTATATTGAACATGCAGCTATTAACTGTACAGATGAAAAGTCGTATATAAAGCACGCAGCAATAAACTACACGGGTTTAAAGAAGTATGATGAGCATGCAACGCTAACCTGCACAGATGTAAAGTCGTATATAGAGCATGAAGATATAAACTGTTCATATGTAAAGTCGTTTATTGAACATGCAGCTATAAACTGTACAGATGTAAAGAAGTATATAGAACATGCAGCTGATGTAAAGTCGCAAATAGAGCATGCAGCTATAAAATGTTCATATGTAAAGTCATATATAGAACATGCAGCTATAAACTGAACAGATGTAAAGTCGTATATAGAACATACAGCTATAAACTGGACAGCAGTATAGTGTATATAGAGCATGCAGTTCTTTTTCTTTCTGATCATGGTCAATATTTCATAAGAAGACAAGAATTATATGGTATTGCTAAGGCATAAGGGCCCCCTCCGTGCATTATTTACTAAGTCAAATATAAAGTCTTATTAAATCTGTTTTACAACCTCTTTATGACATTTTAACAACACAGTATAAATGAATCATATACAGGTTAACTTAAATGTATACACACTGATAAACTAGCTGAAGTTTATATGATTAAACTTTTTGCCATAGTCTGAAAGAAATTAAGATGAAGGGTTAAACTTAAAAAGCTAAAATTTAGTAGATTTGATATAAATTTTACTTAATGTATTCACAAAATATGTCAGCGTTGTCTGTAATTGAAATGTATACACTGTAAAAATCAATGTTGCAGAACAAGGAAGTACATTTTGGTATCAAATTCCATGAAAGAATTCAAAAGCGACAGGAAAATATTTACAGTCAACATTTCATCTGAGGAACATACTGTGAATGATTTAAAAAAACTTGTGAAAATATTTTGAGGATTATATAAAGGTACAATATCTTAAGATATTATGTTTTTAGTTTTATGCTTTTTCGTGTAAATTAAAACAATGATAGTTAAACAAGTTTAATCTTGCCTTTTATGGTAATAAGATATAACAGTAACAAAACTGTAATATGAGCAGCGTGCTCCATTTTTCACAACACTTGACAGAATGAATGATGAATGCATTTATTAAGTAGAAAAAAGGCATAATTCTGATAAACATTTCTGTGATGCTTTTTGAAATCATTATGTACATATAGAGAAAATTAAAGGGAGATAATTCTTATGTGTTGAAATCTTAAGATAAATAATGTTTTAATTTTTAAAGCTGCACACCTCCAGATGAGCAAATTATTTCGATCAAGTCAAATCTGAGAAAAAATGAACTAAGACTTTTAGAAAGGTATAAATATTCAAAATTCTAGTAAAAATTACATGTTATATGCATTTAATGACCGAATTTTTCAGTATGTATTACTATATTTCTACTACGTTACTAACGCAGTAAGGGCTATTTTTGCATATTTTGACCTCTTTATAGTGATTTACATAGGTTGTAAGTGCCATTGATAATGTGTAAATTGCATTCTTTTGGTAGCTTTACAATACATTTTCAGATTTTCATGAAAATCAGCATGAATCTGGTAAAAATCAGCATGAATCTGGAGGTGTGCTGCTTTAAGATAACCAGACCAATTTTTCTCACTACACGGCAGTATTTTAAATACAGGCATCAAAACTTTTTATTGTAAAAGCCATAAACTCAAAAAACTTCAAAGAAAACTTTATGTTGAATATTCCACTATGATTAATCTAGCTTAATTTGTCAAGGAACATATTACATGTACATGCATTTATATAAAGTACCATGTATCAATAGACTAGAAATGTGTCCATATGATACAGATACCCCCATTCAACATATTTACTTCCAATGTTTGGACATCATGAAATGATTAAATTTTAAGCCAGTCAAAATTTGACCTATGACCTCCATGTAGACCTTGTTCTTAAAATTGCCGAGGTGTGAGTGGCACTTACTTGGGTGTTACTTTGGTGAAGACAAGTCCCAAATATTTCAACATCCATCAAGTTACGGCCAATTCATACGCTGAACCGATTTGACCATGACCTTATAAAACAACCTTAACTCTGAAGGCACGGACCTAGTTCTAGCACAATTTTGACTTCTTATGGTTATCATGTTTGCAAATTTATTTTGAAATCCCATGATGCAAGAAGTATACAAAGTATAATCAGATATTCCCTGATTTTTTCCCCCAATAAGTTATATAAGTAGGTAAAGAAGCTAACTGTCCCTGTTTCATATTGACTGCCTAAGTTCTCTTATTATATTCACAAAAAGGAAAATTAGACAAACCTGAAATAAACATATTTATAATGCATTTCAGATAAAACATGGCTGTCCCAGGAAAAAAAGCATCAAAACAATTTTCATCTTCAACACAATCCATGGCATCAGATGAAGATCTTCAAGTTTACTGTCAACCTTGTGATGAGGAAGGAACCAGACTTCCTGCCCATGGTTACTGCACAGATTGCAAGGAACATTTATGCAAGAATTGTTTCACAGTCCATAAAAAGCATAAACTTTCCAAACATCATACACTTCTGGATGCAACAAGAATGCCTAAAGTTTTGCATCAACCCTCATCATCCACCCACACAGGCCAGTCTGATGAACTTACCACACCCTGTTCCAAACATCCGAAAGAAATGATCAAGTTCTACTGCCTCAACCATGAAGAATTACTCTGCAGTGTGTGTGTTACCCTTGAACACCAAGCTACATCCTGCAAAGTAAACTATATACCCGATATATCTGGTAATATGACAGACAGCAAAGAATGTCAAGATATTTTGAAAGCAGTAAATAGTACTTCTGACCAATATCAGCAGTTTGTGGAAGATGCCAAAAAGATGACAAATAAGTCCAACAGCTCTCTCAAAGATGCATTATCAGACATTAGAAAGTTTCGGCAAGAAATCAACCAAAGACTAGATGAACTGGAGAAACAGATTGAAAATGCAGTTAAAGTCATAGAACAAGAAAATAACAAATATCTGAAAGCAGTAGAGACAACATGTGAAGACATAACCAAATCTCTGAAGACATCATCAGGCACCATTAAACAACTTAACATATCAAAACAAGCTGATAAACTCTTCATGGAACTTAAACTTGCAGAAAAAACAATGAAAAATGTGGAGGGAAAAAAATTAGAACTTTCATCATATGTTATCAAAGAACACAATTATAAAGCAAATGTGGCAATATTAGATTTTCTTAAAACAGAGAAGTCTTTGGGTACATTGACACAAAAAACTTTAACAATAAAATCTCAATTTTCACAAATAAAGTCTAGAAAATCCTCACATCAGGGACAAATCTGTGTGAAGACATCAAAAGATAAAGACAGTTGCTTCATAACAGGAATGACTCTGCTGACTCCTGATCTTCTAATCATCATTGACCACGATAATCATGCTGTAAAGATGGTAGATATCAGCAGTCAATCTGTGTCTGATCAACTACAACTAGATGATAACCCATGGGATATTACCACGGTATCTAGTACTGAACTTGCTGTCACACGTCCTTACGCAAACAAAATACAGTTTATATCAAAATCATTAAAAAAACTTATAAAAAAGCACACTATCAAAGTAAATGGACTATGTCATGGTATAAGCTGTTACCAAGGTAAACTTGTTGTGACATACTGTTATCCTGGAAAAGTCCAGATCCTTGAAATGAATGGCACTATACTGACAACAATCGATGATAAAAATATTTTTAAAGACCCAGAAAATGTAACATGTAATAAACGTTCTATCTATGTATCTGACTGTGGGATGAAATCAATTACAAGAATAAACTGGCAGGGTGATGTAGTAGGTAGCTATAGCTGTACAGGTGAGCCAAGAGGAATATCACTATCAGATGATGGAACTGTCTTTGTGTGTGACTGGAAGAAAAATGTTATAGAAGAGATGTCAGAAGACTGCTCTACAGGAAAGGTTGTACTGCAGAATGTGATTTTTCCATATGCTGTTTGTTGGTCTGAGGAAACAAAGAAGTTGTATTTCAGTCGTTACCATACAATTGTTACATTATTTAATGAATTCCTTTGCATCTTTAAATTGTAATAATCTTAGACAAAGATGAAAAAGCATCAGCAGTTCTTAATACACATAGTAAAAATACTTGGAACTTACTTTTCTACAAAAATATAATAGGTTTACTATAAAACACAATAATGATAATATGATATATATTGTGTAATTGTGACATTTTTCTTCTTTTACATATTTCCATCTGTAGATTATCATTTACTCATATACCAACAAATTAACAGATTGAATAGCCAACAGTACAAATCATGATCAGACATCACAGATGCACCTCCTATCTTGCTTTGCACTGGTTGTATGAATTGAATCTGTTGCTGCTTAAAAAGATAAAGAAAGAAAAACATAAACTGAATTTAAATATATTATATGGCTTTATTATCATCAACAATAACAAGGAAATCATACATAGATCATGAAGGTATACGCTGTCGAGTATTTGAATCAAATTGTAATATTTGATAATCATTACGACATAATTTAAAGTGATATATAACTTTTTTATTTTACATTAGTATATTGTTATTAAACTGATCTTGTACGAAACATAAATGAAGAATAAATAAACATGTAGCCGTTACAGTACATTATATTATATGGATCGGGGAGGAACCAACACACAGAACAACAGCAAAAAGACATGAAATGTATATAAATTTGTACATAATCATTTATTTCATAATAAAATGTAAAACACATAGTACATGAATATATTTTCTTAATTGCTTATAATAAAAACTGAAAGCTTATAAACTCACTGAGTGAGACAATATATATCCGTCTCCTTGTAATAATTATTCATTGTAATAATTATTCACAATATACTTGCATGAACTAAATCCACATAAAAACAGTCCTTACATTTAAAATGAAAAGTATTAGCAGTTACTTTTCTTGCACATCAAGGACAATGGTTTCATTATGTTAGCACAATCATTTGGGGACATTATAGCTTTACTGGTAGAGGGAGATAACATGAAAATGGTGGGACTTGAACCAGCAGTTTTTGTTTACAATGGAGAACTAATTATTTGCTCTTTAGTCAAGGGAGATGGTAATTTATCAGAAAAAAAAATGAAATTACTTCTAGCAGATAATGCAGCAGCTTAATACAGAAATTGATTAGAATCTATATAAATCTTGAATGATTAAAGCTACCGTTTACAAATTAATGTCACTGTCTATATTCCTTTTACAACACAAAGGTATCAAATAAAATATCGGTTGACAATTTAAGAGACATAATACAGAACAAAAATATGGAAAATTGCTAAAATTTGTGACATGACAGAACATAAAGTAACTAACAGGTAATAATAAATGCAAATAGAATCATATAACAAAGACGAAACAAGAGGGACATGATTGCCCTGAGTCACCAATCAGAAACATCTGCTTTCCGGTAAAAGATAAAATACTACCTAAGAATGCTACAGACAGAGTTTGGTAATCATACATCAATTATTTCAGTAAATGATGATGTTCAAAAAGGATTTTTCTAATTTTAGTTTTAGAGGCCCCTAACATGGGCCAATCAAATTAATATGAGCAAACTTGATAAAACACTACCTATTAATGCAGACAATAATTTGAAGAGTATCCATCAATTATTTCAGTAGGAGATGATGTTCAAAGATTTTTCTCTATTTTTAGCTTTAGCGGCGCCAAAAAAGTGCCAATAAAATGAATATGAGCTAACTTGATAAAAGACTATCTAAGAATGCAAAATTCTGGAAACAAAGTGATCCCTCGGAAGCATTAATCACAACAAAATAACATAAGAATTGCAGACTCGGTTTGATTGAGTCTGTACATGTTTTGCTGATTATCCATCAATTAGTTCTGTAAAAGCAGACGTTTTAAGGTATTTCTATTTTTAAGCTTTAGCGGCCCCTAAAACCAGCCAATCAAACTAATATGAACAAACTTGATAAAAGACTACGTAAGAATGCTACAGACAAAGTTTGGTGAATATCCATAAATTATTTCAGTAATAGAAGATGTTAAAATAGATAAATACAGAATCCCTAAAGAAAGCCCAACACGGCAAAATTGAAAATGTTGCAGGCTCGGTTTGATTGAGCCTGTTCATGGACGGTACAAGTTTTTTTAATATTTTTAGCTGTAGCGGCCCCTAAAAGAAACCAATCGAATTAATATTTGACAACTTGATAAAACACTGCCTAAGAATGCTACAGACAAAATTCATTAATTATTTCAGTATGAGATGATGTTCAAAGGTTTTTCTATTTTTAGCTTTAGTGGCCCCTAAAACGAGCCAATCAAATTAATATGAACAAAGTTGACAAAAGACTACCTAAGAATGCAACAGACAAAGTTTGGTGATCACCAACCGATTAGTTCTGTAGAAGAAGATATCAAAAGTTATTTTTATATTTTTAGCTCTAGAGACCCCTTATTGTGCCAATCAAATTAAAATGAACAAATTAAATACAAGACTTCATAAGAGTACTACAGACAAATTTTGGTGACCATCATTTAATTTAGTAGTGGAAGATGTTAAAAGGTTTTTCTGTTTTTAGCTCTGTTGACCCCTAAAAGTGGCAAATTGAAATGGCATGAGAAAATCTAAATATGACTGTCACAAGGATGCTACAGACCAAATTTGAGGTAAATCAACCCATCAGTTTCAGAGAAGAAGATAATTGTTGATGCACGACGACTTACGACAGACGCCGGAGCATTCCCCTTTGAACTAACAGCTCACCCTGAACCTTCGGTTCTAGTGAGCTAAAAATCCCATATAAAGCATGACAGAAAAAAGAGAAGTCTTAAAATCTATAATGTATTGCACTTTGACAGGTTTATTTTTGTTACTGCACCCATCTTAGACTACAAAATATAAACAAGGGCATATTTCTAATATTTTTAATATCACAACGATATAAAATTAAACATAACAAACCAACTACGAATCTATTTTTTCATATATAGAGATTTCATATGTACAAAGAGAAACCTAGCCATTTATTCACAATTGTAAACTCATAATAGACTTTCCAATAATTTAACCCTTAAACAGACAGAACAAACATTGCAAATTTTACTTCAAACATTGATTTTCATTTTTTTATTAAAGAGATCACCGGCCCTTATCCGACTGAAGTCTTTAATGGACTGGTCTAAATTCCATTTTCTGGAACTGTCCATTGTCAAGTTAGGGGTATCGTGATTAAAATTTAAATTAATTTGTCAAAATTGTAAAGCCTCCTCTGAAAATCTACCAGATTTTTATCTTTATATTTAATTTTTTAATGAAATTCCTTAAATTCCAAAATGGACTGCTCAAATTGTAAAACATAATAAATTCATTGAAAGAATTAAGCAGGGAACACTTAATAAATATTTTAAATACAATTGCTATAAATAGAATTTCCTTATTATAAACAAAATACGAAAATAACCTATACAATAAATTTAATAACTACATGTATCAACGGTGTGCAAAAATTACATAAAGATTTATTGAGCAAATTGAAAAGTAAAATCAAAGGTAAAACCACAACACTTACAATCTGTAATAATCCTTTCATTATCCATAAATATACATAGCTGCTTCATAAATTTATCTTAAACATTGCAAATAAAAGTGCAGTATCATCAATTTGAAACAAAGATTTTGACAGGCGATGTGGTTTAATTTGTTATATAATCATTGCACTGTGGTTCATTTATTGTAAGATTATAACTGGTTATACTAAGTCATATATCATGTGAAAAATATTTATAACGGTCTATATACTAATGCCACATCCCAATGATTGTTGTGTTATTTCCGAACCAACCGAAAATAACGTATTTCCTTGCAAGTGATCGCCTTCCACTCCCACATGATTCAGCAGTGAAACATTATGACCATTAGACTCAATGTCCAAGAAAAATTATGCCGCTCCAGCAACACTTGGATTACTTATCTATTTCTCTTACCTATTGAGCTAAGCAGACAGACAAGCACAAAGACAAGTCATAGAGATTTAACAAACAATACCTTCGTCAATTGTTTTCAAGGCTTCTGTTGCAAAACACCGTGTTACAACAAGACTGGCAAGAATGTGAATGTAAAACATGGCACCCGGAACCAACTGTCAGGTATGGTTACTTAAAGTATTCTTCCTAGCCTCTGGCCCAATTTTCAGAAAGGGATCGCGATCAAATTCTATGTCCACTGTAGTATTTCTAGAGCGGTTGCCCTTGAATAAGTATAAATTGCAATTTTCAACATCTCATGATGTATTTGACCTTGAGCCATGCAACTTTACTGACATGTTTGTCTGCATGTGTAGTGTTGTGCACCTTGGGGTTTGATTGTGGATTTATTCAGTATTTGTAGAGTAATTGCCCTTAACTAAGTAAAATCTATTTCAAAATGTTGTGTAATGGGTACCTTGAGTGCCTGAGTTAGAATCAACCATTTTACAGGAATGATGATCAACATCACTGTGACGCTGTACATCTGGTTTTTTGTGTGTGGATTTTTTCAGTTTTGTTTATTGCCCTTGACTTAGTATGAATTTGCCATTTTTAACTTGTTCATGCATATCTCAAAACGTATGTGATCTGTAGGCCTGAAAGATTACAAGAATGTTGGTCAGCATGTGTACTTATACACCTTGGGGATTTATTCAGTATAAGTAAAGTTCTTGCCCGTTACTTAGCATACAGCATCATAGCATACAGTGTTAAAAAAGTAATTTTAATTTTTTAAGCAAATCAAGCATTTTCTATGTTTCATTGGTGTTTCTTTAAAAAAATACTTGAATCTCTAGTATTGAACTGGGCAGGCATTTTAAAAATTGAATACCAGATCTCCTCTTTCTGGAGCTTAAAATGTTTACCTTTTGAAGTGAGAAAGTACTTAGGTATTTGGTTTTAATGAAGGAAATGTGAAGGAATAATGAAGATCTCCTGTTGACCATTTGAATAACACTTTTGTATTTATTTTCAGACTTCTCACTGTGCCTGTAAGCAGATAAATCCTGTTGGTGTTGATTATATTCTTCAGAAGCTTGGTTTTACCTATGCCAGAGTTACAATACCTAAATGAAATGGATGCAGCGAGGTTTCATGGATCCGCCTGATAAATGGATCCTTT